TCAGCACTCTTGTGCCAACGTTGCTCTCAGCGCTTCCAAAAGAGACATTTCAACGTTGTGCCAACGTTCATTCTACAATTAGTCACCATTTTAAAGCACTATAACTCTTAAAGTATAAAAGCCGTCACAACTCTCCTAATATATATAGACGATCGTGACTGTCGCTAATTCTAACCATGTTCTAGAGAAGTTAGAAAACTGAAACTTGGTACACAAGTAGCTATTGGGATGTAGAGTTCAGAAAAATCCGACTTTGGAGATACATGCCCTGGGGGAACGTTCCGGGGGGGACTGATTTTTCAAACCTAGGCCCAGCCCCCCAGACAGAGGTTTAGGCCTACGCCATCCTCATATACATGTTCCTTCCTCTGTCATTGTAGGAAGTGTGTGTAACTGCTAGGTCGTTCACTCAGGAGGAACGGAAAGTTCACGCAACCGAAGCTAGGTGACGCCAAAGTAACCGCTAAAGCGATGGTGGGGGGGGGGGGGGGGGGGGGGGGGGAGGAGATACATGCCCTGGGTACAATTTTCAAGGGGGGCTGATTTCGCAGGCCTAGGCCTAACCCATGGAAGGATGCTTAGGCCAATACCATTCTCATGCGCTCTATTCTTCGTAGGAAGCGGGATGGAAAATAAACCGGTTGGCTTGCAAACTACAGATAACAGTTGGACATTGGAGGTGCGTGCCCTAAAGGCACTGATTCAGCAGGCCCATATCTAACCCTTGGACGGACACTCAGGCCTACATCGATCTCGACTCATTGGGATCGATGAATTTTTCGGCCTATCTGAACGGAAAACTTTCTGCCTCGGCATGCGGCGCGAGGTCTTTGCCCTCTGCCTTTCTTGGTCATAGGCTAAGTAGAAGGACTTGGGTTTATAAAGAGTTATTCCAGTTAAACTGCCAAGTGGTTTATGTAGTTAATGTGGCTGCTATTACTCACTTCTACTTTCTTTGGAGATTGACATACAATCAAGAGTGTGTCGACCATAAGCAGGAATTGAATACAACAATGGAACACTAAACGACGCACTGACAATTGTTACTTGGTGATCCTCATGCTACTAGTGAAATGGCGTTACTAAGAATATGTTCTAAGGCACCTTTTTTTTTAAGGTGCCAGAGCCAAAGGTGCGGGATTTGAACCCATGAGTAAAGGAGTGAGGGGTGTTTCTAGGGGGTGTTTCTATTTCTAGGGGTGAGCATCGAAAACGGATGCGTTAAACTGAAATGCATTAGTAATTTCCTTAGATCGCAGAGCGCCGAAGGCGCGTCCATAGCGAGTTATTAAATAGGACAGACTCCAAAGTTTTTTTCTGCGCAGTTGGCAATCCTAACATGACGTCATTCGCGCATCAACATGGCGAACAACCTATTAACACATTAAATTTCGTGAGCGCGTCATCTAAAACCGCTATCCACGCAGGTTCAACAGTGGTTTGTCGTGGCCTCCAACTAGCCCCGACATCAACCCAAGTGCCTTTTTCTTTTGAGGAACAATACAGCCTCAGTGTTTGAGACAGCCTCTCAATGGGAGGCTGCATCATTGTCAACCTGAAACCATGATGATTTCGGGTTGCTTGCATCTTAAGTGAGGCCACAGGGGGGAGAGGGTAACTGGGTTTCCAGGCGCATGAGTGTTGAGTCGTTTGCGCCAGGCGATGCGCCGAGGAGCCCGTATTGTGAGTCGAAGGTCATTGTCATGACGACCTAATGGACCTCTTAATGTTATGGTTTTGCGTCATGTCCTGTCTCTTTTGTCTTGTTTTGCTATTTGACGCTTTACATTATTTAAGCCTCGATCCGCCTTCCCAGTTTACATCATGCAGGGTAATCAATGTAATCAAGGAAAATGTACCTGGTATAGTTTTCTACGTAAAACTGCTACCAACACCACTTATAAATTTTCATCTCATAACAAAGAAATACATTTAAAATTTTCCTGATTTGAGTAATTTTGAATTGTTGTGTTTATGTTCGATTTCTGACAACAAAAAATGTTTGCAAATTCACGTACACAATCCCAATATAGCAAAAATCCTCATATTTGCATGCACATTAAGATCAATAAATATACATACTGACATCACGCAACTCGTGCAGATAAATTTCTCTTTCACTGAAGACCATGCTCAAATCCAGTAATATGTGGTTTGCTGATGAAGTTCTGAGAATACTAAAAACAGAAAATTACAAATCACATGTATCAATCCCTATCCCACACGTGTCCTTCCCACATTGTCTCTTCACAGCATTTTCCCCACTTGTTAACCCTCTGCTTGAAGCCATAAAAGACGAATTCCCTAGACCATCGGCGAAGCCAATCAATAACTTCCCTGCACATCATCTGTCGATCAAAAACTACAGTCGGTCATCAATTTCACGCTTCAGAGTTAGAAAGGGCTAGGGGAAGGGACCTCTTCTCTTTGCTCTCTTGCCTTCTGAATGTCACTCGGCATTGAAGAGAACTGGCTTTAATGCGGGATAAGAGTGCTGTTGCACAAGGTCTATATAGCAATAGAATCAATCCGGAAAATGAGGGTCTCCCCCATCCATAGACAGAAATCTCATGCCCGCACATTTCTAGCTTTTTCCTGCGTCAAGAACAAGCTGGCAGCCATTTTACCCATTTTTAGCCCTTGTTACTCGTTGAGGCCACCATTAATCGAGGGAATTCGTCTCTCTGGCGGGAGGTTGTGGGTTCCCGGATGAGAGGAAAACGCTGTGCAGTTGCAGGGGGATGTCTGGACAGGGCACAGATCCTAGGGGGTCAATATTTTCGATTTGCATGATTCTATTCCAATAATTCCTATATCGTGAAGAGCAAGATTTGTTGATAGAAGTTGGATCAATAAGGTTTTTTTTTTAATGTGGTAAAGAAAATGAAACGTGATGAATAGGGGCCGCATTCATACGTCCGGAAAATCCCAAAAATATGATTGGCATATTTGTTATTTTCTGTAATACCTCGTAATATTCTCTACAAAACTGCTTCAATCTTATTCGCAGGGGGGGGGAGGCTCTATGGAAGCTCAATCTAGAGGGAAAACCTGCTAAATATGCTCGCTTGATGAAAGAGTCGTATGCCAAAATTCGCTTGTCTTGTTAAATAGGCTGGTTATGTTCCCTCGGGCCTAAATACGCGGTCATATACTCTGTTGCACAGAGGAGAAATATTGTCACTTCACCAATTTTCGAGGCAAGGAAATGGAAACAAGGAAAACGAGACAGAACTTGAAAAAGAGATCCCTCTTGATGAGAACTTAAGATATAGGATCTAACCCGAATTCCAGGCGATGGGCAGGACTGGTGCTGGATGACATCCAAGGTCGTCGCTGAGATCGGCCGCGTGATCGCTGCTTCGTGAAGGGGAGGAGGGTCTTCTTCGGGTGCGATCAAACCTGCGCTGGTCCAGGAGAGATTTTCTGGGTTGAGCCAGGTTTGCTTGGGATTTGAGAATGCCTCGATGCCGGGAGGGGGGGGGAATCTTGTCTTTCGGTTGTCGGGTTCGCATTATGTCTATTATTATGTCATATGTTTCTAAGGGATTCCTCCGATCTCAGAAGAAGCGTTTATTCAAAAGCACTGATAATTTTTTTTTTAGGGCTTCTGGGTTTTCCCTTTTAAATCTTCATTTTTGCACTGCATTTTTACGTAAGTGGCGTTCGTACGTTTTTTTTTTCGCCGCGAGACTCAAAACTCTTCTTTTCCTGTCTATTTTGCCATTGAACGGGTTTAATTTGATAACTCCGCCGCTCTTCAACGCCTTACGTCATCGCATGCAATCCTTGCGCCAAGAAGTCTTCTTCCTTCTCATTGGGCCGGTGATCCAAAGCGATTCTTACTCCATTTTCTACCGAAGAGTTTTTAGATTCTCATTCGCATTGTTCCAACCCGAAGTTTTTCTTTCGCGAATGCTCATCCCTCGAAGGTTTCCGTTAGTCACAGCCGACTGCAGAGCCCACAGAAAAAGAACAAAGCATTTTCTCCTTGAAACAGAATGAAGGCGCAAGGCCATTCATTATCTCAAGAACAATAGGCGATTGATCGATTGAGAAATGGATGCAGGTTGGTGCCAAGAAAGCCGACGGGAAGAATTGCTTATAGCTCCAGAACTATTTCTTCTCTCTGTCTCAGCATTTTCTTTATCGAGGCAGTACAATTCATTCGTGCGAATTTGATCTGATGCATCGGCATTACATTCCAAAAGTTGGCTTCACTTCGTATCCGCATTTTTAGGTATTGATTTGTTTCGTCGATTTTCCTTTGCTGTCGAACGATTGTCGGGTTTCGTCCATCTTGAACCGTCGACAAGGTCTGCTCTCTTGAACCACTTCTGTCGACATTTTAAAACTCTTTTCAAGGATATTCAAGATGGGAAGACTTGAAACCTGTCATGATCTGAATTCCTGATACTGATCATTAAGGACAAGTGCAAAAAGAATTTGAACGGAAAATTGAAGACTATCTGTCGGGATTTTCTGTCGTTTGTCCCCCCCCTCTGATTGAGTCGGTCGTTATTAAACGAGAAACAGTATGTTATTAATAAATCATGAAATGTATTTCCCTGGAATCAATCAGATCATTCTGATTTCATCAATAGACGGGAAAGGAGCTGTGTAAAACCGAAACGTCGATGAGATCGGAGCTACAATAAGAATCCTTAACCCTTGACCTTACCCGAGGAGCCTTGGGTCATTAGAGCCTTTAAAGGATGAATTTTTAATACTAGAAATAGCCCGTGTTGGATTTGTTTGCAGTAGTTTCCGGGAAAATCCAAAAATGTTTATGGGCTCACTGACGCGGAAAAAAAGCAGATGACAGATGAAGGCAAGGAAATATCAAACGCCACAGCATTTTGAATCGAATTTAAAAAAGAGTTTAGCGCTGTATTCACGTTCCAAAGTTCTTAATGAGATTAATACTACATAGAAACGCGTGTTCTGTGCACGAATCGCTAGAATGAAACGGGCGAGGAGAGAATAAGCTGTTTATTTGTCTTGCATGTACAGAGCGACGCAACTCATCCGAACTTTTTTTTAAACTGAGAGAATAAATGTGGAATTCACGTGTACTTTAAACATGCATGTAACACACGGCTGCAACCAAGGATGCGAATTGTTGTTTGAAATTATCTGATGGGAGGAGTTGGGTCAGATGTGAAGGTATGTATCGCATTTCGGACTTTCGTACCGATTCTCTCACTTTCGGCAGCGGTTTCAGCGGGTTGCGTTCGAAGCGGGAACACCCTGCGTTTCAAAGTGCCGATATGTCTCCTCGAACTGGATTACGGGCCTTCGATGACGTTGTTTGATACATCTCCCCCAATGTTTGATACACCCTCCGCACTGTTTGACATATCTTCCCCAATATATGGTACATCTCTTAAAGCATATTTTCCCTCCCAAAAGTACACCTTTCTCGAACAGAGGCAATTTGGAACACGAAGTTGTGCTTGTGGCAAAGCATACCACAGAAAATATATAGCTAAAAAAAATATATATATATATATATATATTTATATGTCCGCGAGATTTTTCTTTCAACAGACTTTAATTTGAAGCAGAATTTGTGCGAACTTGTACAATATTCCCCCGTGACAATGCATTTGAATTATAAATCAAGAAACATTTCGAATTAAACCACGACATTTCCTGATGCAGTGCAAGGTGCACACTCTAGACCCACAATATTATAACGATGTGTATCATATATATAAATAATATTATTCTCAAGATGCTACGAAGAGACAACTATTCGATGGACCACATCCGGCCAAGGGAAACGGATTTGCAGTGCGAATTTGGCATGGTATTGAAGTTCAGACTCATTTTATTGCGATTGTGCGATATCCACCTGAAATTTTCCTTTTCGTCCTAAGAATTTGCCATTCGATGAAAATTTTCCAAATTTTCTCTTTGGGTTCGTTGCATCAGAGGAAAAAGGCATGAAATTATCTTCATTTTGCGAAAACATGAGGAATTGCCGAAATTTGGATTTTTGCAGCTATTCCGCACAAGACATGGCCGACTGCCAAATTCCTTGGACCGGAAGGAATAGGAATTGTGCGTTCTTACAGAAGAGTGCCTGACCTCGATGCCAAATTCACCCTGCAAAAAAAAAATATTGCTCGGAAAGCGATCTTTGAGAAGTGGGACCAGAATTTCGCGAAGCCCGAGCAATTCCGACTCCACTCAAAGGTTTTGCAGAAATAGCATTATTTGCACCATTGCGAGCAAATTGCCGGCCGATGCGAATCACGTCCCATAAGGCACTCGACATACCTACCCAAATATTGCATGAGATTCTGCAATTTGCACATCATAAAATGAGGCACGAGTGCACGTGAGGAAATTGGCATCTGATACAAGGTCAACTTAAAAAAGAAACATCAAGATGGTGGTCGTAACGGTGATCGTGATGAAGAAGGTGGTTCTCGAAGGCCAAAGCTGGTTTTCGTCGAAGCTGGCTCTCCCCGATTACGGTTAGTCCGTTCCGCTGTTCTTCTGGTACAGCATGAAGTCCTGTGCCAAAAATATGCAAATCGGATCACTTTGTGCATGCATACACAGTATATTCTGAACTGAGTGCCAAATGCTAAATAGAAGTTCGATATCCGAAATGGAATTTACATTATTTTGGCTGCACTTTTTTTTGCAGATGATTTTCGTTAGCCTTCCTTCCGAGCAATGAACAATTAGTATCAATGGAGAATTTGCTTGACTTTCTTCGGATTTTCACGGATCCGACGTCCATCTTCGATTCCTCGCTGAATAATTGTTCATAGCCTGCCTTTGGTCTAACCAACTCGGATGAAATTTTGGAACTTTGTTGGGAACTTATTTATCTGAGCCGTGCAAATTTCGTGGAAAGAAAAATTACCGCGAGAGATATATATATATATTTATATATATCCTTTAGTCCTTTTCTTGCCCTACCCAAACGATTGAATACATAAAATAAATGCGACACAAGCGCCCACGACGGGGCAGGGCGGGTCCGCACGAGAGTACGCACCGCTGCTAGCGTGACTCGAGTCAATTCAGCCCCTTCCCCAGCGGTCCCGATCGAGAAGAGTCGCCGAGACGTTGCCATTATCTAAAAGGGGGTTACGGGGCCATCGGCACAAGTAAAGACATCCGCTATCAGACAGCCATCGCAAGAGGGATCGTGATAATAGCAAATATGAAATTGGTAGGTTGTCATCATTTATCAGTCAGTTCTCGCGGGAAAGAAAAAAACGCGACATCGTCCGTAGAAAATAACAGGCCCTGACGGAAAGACGGAATCCGCCCAGAAAGACGAGAAGACCATGAAAAAAAAAATATATATATACTGTATATATTTATATATATTTTTTTTTATATTTTTTTTTCATGGTCTTCTCGTCTTTTTTTTTGCGGAGTGACGCATATTCACGGCAGAAAAAGCCTCCAATCTAATTCGCCATCTACCATCACAGTGCTTCAATAGCGTCGGCCTGCGAAAAGTTTTATTTATCGTCCTCGCTCTTTGAGCGCACTCACCACTAATTCAACTCATTTAATAACTATATAATAATTACACATACGAGGAGGAAGAGCGTCCCGATGAAAAGCGCCTTGAGGCGGACATCCAAGTCGATGGGAAAGACAACGGTGAAATTGTCCGCATCGGTGAAGGCCTCCTTGAGGAGCCCGGACCAGTTCTTCCGGATCAATCCGACCTCTTTCGTCCCGTTATGGTTCAAAACCTGAATGAAAGAAATTGCAGAAGTTTCTGCGAGCGCGAAAGAGCCGACCGGGGATTTTAGCGGGGTGAATTGATTTTTTAATGGATGGAAATTACTCAGATTTAAAAATGAATGCTCTTGGATGCTAATGTTTTACAGGTGATGTCGCCGAAAATGCTGATTATATGCGCGATTCTATTGTAGGTACTTCAAAGTACTTTGTCAGGAAACATAAGCCTAAACCTCCTCTCCAGGAATCTAAAGCAAGAATGATTAGATGCTATGGATTCGCCTGTCTCAAGGCTCCACTGCAATGTTATTTTAAATCATGATTTGGGTTCGTGCTTGGAGAAGGCAGGAAACTCATCGCATCAATTTTTATCAGAGCCTTGTTTCCGCACTGCGTTGACATGGAAACGAGGCGTCAAGTGCGCCTCGTCATCGCCACTTCGCGATCGATTTCACCCTCAAAGGCACAAAGCGACTGGGGGGGGGGGGGGGCATTTCAGCGAGCAAATTTCGACAGACGGGAAACTCGACGTCGTTGCCGTAGCAGGAGCAGTAGCAGCAGGGACCGCCGACGCGGAACACGACCTCGTCGCTCGGGTCCTTGATGACCAGATTCGGTTTCCAGAAGGTCCATTCCTCCTCTCCCTCCCCGTTCCGTTCCCCTTCCCCTTCCCTTTGTGTTCTCCAACTTATGGAATATTCTTGAATGGTTTCATCCGAGGGGTTAATATATTTTCAAGGCATCTCCGCCGTAGAGACACCTTAAATAGCAGATAAACAATGTGTTATTTGATCTTAATTCGTCGGGGAATGTCAGATACTTGACTTTCTGAGCACAACACTGCATCAACAAATAATTTCCTTTGGCATGACTATACCAAAGCTTGTATGCATCTGAGGTCTTCCCTCGACTAGACTCATTCCTTTTTATTCTGAATGATGCACCTTTTCTTTGTTCTCCTCAGATGCGGAGAAATCAAAGCTTGTCTTCTTCATAACCTCAAAATTGCATCGATTTCCCCCTCAGATGACATCAACAAATTTTTAGAATGATTGAAACTGAGAAGACTGATAAAAGTAAATGAGGAAAGTATTCGGAATCACCTTGGATGTGGTTTTATTCAGAGCAGAATTTCTTTAAAGTACATATGGGGCTTATAATAACCAGGCAAATACAAGGTGTCCGTAAATGATTTTTCCGATTTGGACATTTTATTTTTCAGCGTTACTTCAAGCTACACTTATGAAACACATATCAACCGAAAGAACAACTTTAACAATTTTTATTGACGTACACAAAGTCATTAATCAAGTTCAATGTGAGCGCCACGAGTAACTCGAACCACATAGTCATACCGCTTCACTTTGTCCGAAGGTTTCAGTTTTTGCAAAAACTGTAATCGATATGGCCACAAATGAAGGCGCTTGCGAAGAACCTGCCAGACACTTGTTTTCGGCATGTTAAGTTCCCGACTGGCACGCCGCACAGATTTTTGGGGACTGCGTAGAAATGATTGCCGAATGGTTTCAATGCGCTTAATACTCACGGACGGTCTGCCGGTGCTTTTGCGTTTACACACACAGCCATCGGTAACAAAACGCTCGTACCAAGCACGAATTGATGGCTGGCTTGGAGGAGCCTTCCCATACTTCCGTCGAAACTGTCTCTGCAGTGTAACAACAGATTTTGTCTCATGAAACGCCAAGACACAGAACGCTTTCTCCGGCCAGGACACCATTTTGCCGTACCGACGAATGTAGCTCTGCCCAGCGGGCAGAATGCACAACTTTCTAGCATCTAGCGTCAAATTCAAACTTTCAGAGTTCATCTTACATATAATTTCAAAGCAGCTACTTAAACAAAGTCGGAGTAAAAAAAAACATAAAAATCGGAAAAATCATTTACGGACACCCTGTAGTTTGTCTCCATAAAAATTACTTCTCGAATAAACCCTACCTTCATGCAAGGCAAAAAAACCAGGCCTTTAAAGGGTGTGAAGCATCCAGAAACTTGCTGCATGCTTACTCTTTTTTTGAGCTCACATGCTTTTGTATCTAATTCCTCATATTGCATTACTTATGTACAGGAAGCAGACAAAGTCTGGGCGAACCGGAGTGAAAGTAATTAATTTTAAATTATGTACTGTTTTATATCACACACACACCAATACAAGCTTACCCCTCATATTTCCTGAATTAGAAAAAATCACAGAAAAATTAAGAAACCTTCTCTGAGAGTGAGTGTATATTTCCAACCTTAGAATTAGGTGCCAGTTGCATTTTTCAAATGTGAAAATTTTTTCTAATTTTTGAGAAAAACCATCAGGGAAAAATCACCTCCATGGGGAGAAGACTTTTTATCTCCACAAAGCTCATGTGGGATCTTCCTAGATGAGTTCTAGCACTCATCGGAGATGAATCACAACAACGGCGATTCATTCGCCATCACTCCTCTCTTGTGGAAATCTAGTTTGTTCAAAGGAAATACCAGATGGCAGGGCTGCAGCTCAATCATTATTCATGACCTCGCGCACCGATTGGATCGAGTCCATGGGCATTTTTATTTGACTAGTAGATGCTTATCCAATGGCACCCATGACGCCAGGAGACGCGACTGGCAATTTCCATTGCAAAATTAGGTTTTTCGCGAAAATGAGGAACACGGTTCAAGTTTTGTCCCACAAGAAGGATAAATCCTGGAATTATTAGAAATCAGCGTGATAATTTTCAGAGATAATGTTCAGCGGTTTGGATGCTTGAATGCTTACGGACACACATGCGACAAAGTGCAATTCTCTGTGGTAGTCAAAGTTTTTTTTCGCATGTTTTTGTTGAGCCGTCGGTTTACCTCCGGTTTGAAAAAAAAAAACCGGATCCTCAGGATGCAATAACTCGTCAGAGGAACGAAATATACAATTCGTCGACGAGGAAAACATGCTTTTGCGTTTTTTTCCCCAGGCCCAAGACGAGAAATGGAAGGAAAAGTACTCGGTACGATTGCCTTTGTCGAATCTCTCTCGGCTTCCTCCTTCTCTTCTCCCTCGCATCGGTCTCCTCTTGTCTTTACTGGATGAAACGTGAGAGACTCTTCCTCATGGGCAGCGTTTGGGGGTTTGGGGGGCTAAATTCCCTGACATTTTCTCAAAAGTCAGTTAATTTTCCGTGGAAATAGCGTAATTGCTGAGAGCGAAGTGAATTAAATCATTGCTTAAAGAATTAGCATTGTTTCATTTCGCGTGATTATGACCTGCAAAAAAATTGGAGGAGTAAAGATGAGCTTCCCGCTGGCAATCACCTAGGTTAGTGAAGGGCGGTTAAGTAGGTGAGATTTCCTGCTGATTGGAATAGTATGTGGGTATGAGGCTCTAGTCTTCTAGTTAGCCCCCCAAATGAAACTCTCAAGCGCCGCCGATGCTTTATTTTTTTGTATCGGGGCGACTGTTTCACTGTAGCCTAGTATATTACCCTTCCCTGCTTTATTCTGCGGGTCAGGAGGTTCTCAAGAGGCCTTGGTGATCATGTGGTGCAAGGACGAGGATCTCGTTCAAGCCTTGCTGAATCACTCCCTGCCTCAGGTACCCAGGTACTCAGAAGAGCTTTGCCAAACGTCTCCGGAAGCTCTCTTGGCGAAACTGGAGGAGCACGGAGAAGAGGGGAGGAGGACCTTCGTCCTCTTGGACCCAAACATCCATGCGGGGATTCAGCATTTGTTTTTGCACGATTCGCACCTCTTGTCTGACTTCCTCTTTGTCACCCCATTCGCAAAATCCGTTCGTTCCAGCCACGACAATTTCGTATCGATTCAGTACACAAATGTCGGGATCGTGACTGCCTTGAAAAAGCGTATCAGTGGATCCGATCGACCGTTGCTACCCGTGTTACTTCATGGTTCTCGGGAGGCTTTGGAAAATCTTCAGATCTTCGAAGAACTGTTGAGAGAAAATGCGAAGCTTCTTCCTTTCGTCCTTTACGACCAGAATCTCACATCCTTGGCTCAAACCCTCCACGAGCGGGTGAAAGAGCACCCAGAATTGGAGATCCTATTGGTGAGCGACGAAGAAGCAATAAAAATATTAGAAGGAGTGAACGGTGACGTGACCCTGACGAGCAGACTCTGGTATGCACCTTGGATCGCCTGGCATGAAGAGACACTGCTCGATAATCCCAAGGCATTACAAACGGGGAGGAAGGTGGGTCTGTACACCTCCATGTTTCTGGGCCCTCACCACAACAGTCCCAAAAGACGGCGATTCGTGCAAGAGCTGAGCCGAGCGTTGTCTCGACCCTGTCCCTTGAGGGCGCCGCTGTTCCACGACGCCGTCACGGTCGCCGAAGGCCTCGCGGGAGGGAAGAGTCGCGGCGACCTAGGAACGGGCATGACGGGGACGCTGGAGTTTCACGAAACGGGTCATCGGAAGTCGGCTGAATATCTTCATGCATTCCTCATGCCAGAAGTCCCGAAGCAGAACGACGTGGAAATCATGCAGCTTACACCCTGGCTTCCGGACGATCTTATCCGCATCGAGGGACGAGATCCAATCCAAGTCATTTCTCTTGGATCTCGATGGGATTCCCATTTCCTTCTTCGGGAACATTTACTGGGACTTCACGAATCGGCCGCAAGGAGTGGGTGTGGAGATCCCCGTCTATGGATCCAGGCCTACGACCCCCTTCTCTACCTCCCTGTGAGAAGGGAATTCCAGACAGAAAACCTGCCTCGTTTCCTCGTCATTCCGACGAGCCCTGGTTACGCTTTGCAGATATCCTGCAAGAAAGAGAACGGAGAAATCTTGTCGATGGACTTGGCCTGCCCTGCCCAAGACGTGGCCGACCATCTCCCCTGTCTCCATTCGTTTCAGTCCCATGCGAGGACAAAGAGGCACGAAGACGCCCATGCCGACCATCAGGAAAACACACAAGACCACCTCTCCGCATCGAAGAGAGAGAAACCGCTTGGAGCCCACCAGCCGCATGCTCCGGATCCCCACTGGCACCCTCCACCACCCACCATCTCCCGGACTCCCAGAGCACGGCGGAACGACCGGGCCCGTCATCCCGATCAGGGAAACGACGGGACCAGGCCCGGCTTCAATAGAGAACGGGTGGGCCGTCTCAATTCTATTCGTACTCATAAAGGGAGAGGAGAGACCCTCTTCACCTCCAGGGAATACATTGTTTACCAAGAAGAGTCGGATGTTCCTCAGAATGCCGTTCCACTCCAGGACCCTTTTGGAAATTATCTCTTCATTTCGTTTAACATGAAACGCGATGGACCAAAATTCCTCTCCAAAGATTCAATCGTTCGTGGAAGGTGGCAACATCAAATTCCTGGACGAAACGTGTCGCGAAGCGGCCATCGTAATCGACACGAATACGATGATGAAGGACACCAGCACCAAAATTATGACTACGATTACGACGACGATTATGACGACGACGAACATCCTTTCTTCGTTTCGATCCCCCACGACGACCTAAATCGCGGAGACGAACCGTTGCTTGGCGAGATCCACGTCCCCCTCCCACCTTACGCCAAATGGCTGCATTCATCATTGATTTCCATTGGAGGCTGCATCGGGTCTTCCATCGCCTGCCTCTACTGTGTGTTAGCTTTGGAAGCCATAGGCTATGGAAGCATGTCCTGTTATCCGTATTGTGCCATGACTCCCACAGCCAACTGTTTCGGCCTGCTGGGTCGCATCTGGGCCGAGGTCTACGACGACAACTCAGTCATCTGCACGGAACTGTGGGCTCAAGAAAGAGTGGATCTCCACACCTACGTGGTCGACTCCCAGTTCGGCATCCGACTGAAGCAGACTTCCCCCGAGACCCTCGAGGGGTACCGCATCCTGGCACGGCCACTGGTCTGGCTCATGCGGTGGAGCCCCCGCGTCTCGGAATACCTGCACGCCCACTGGGCCCAGCCTTGGATGAATCAGATGATGTACGAAGAAGGCGTCTCTACGTCCGAGGACCCCGTCGGGGAACACTTGCTTCGTTGGGGGCTCCCCATCTGCACTTTTGTAGGCCGTTGCGCCTCTCGATTCTCCGAATTCAAAGTTCTCATCGTGCTCTTTGTCTTGATTAGACTCGTACATACGAGGGTTGTCCGAAAAGTTCTCCGTATTGATTTTTAAAATGAGTTGGACTCGATGAATCTTTATTTAATTTCGGTGAGCACTGGTTATATCTAATAGTATTCGATGTGCGAAGTTTGGTACTAATTTAGCATTTACATTCGCTGCCGGATACTGTATACAGTCACTATGAACGCCTCCGTCGTGCAAGAATCATTCTCGAAACATGTTATTCGAGTCATCATCAAGTTCCATCTTCTGCTGAGTAACACTGCGACAGAAATCCACCAACAGATGTCAATGGCTTTTGGCCAACATTGTCCACACATTTATGCAAAACCGGGATCCAACGACGACTTTCAAATTTACAACGGAATTTTGCATCTCATTTTTGTAAAGCACTTTTGGATACTTGTAGTAAGCAAGAAATTTATTTTTTTAAAGCAATTGACTTTGGTGACCAGGGACCCCATCAACGCGTTGAAATCAAATAGGATCGCAACATTTACATCTTGTTGCCACTGAGGTGCTGCTTCTCACGAATTAATGTAGCGGGAGTCAGTGGGTTTCTCTCCTTGGACTACTGTAAATAAAAACTCAGCGTCTGTACGAGAGCAAGCAGGAGTAATAAATTTCATTAAAATTTTATCGTAAGATGTATATTTCAGAATTCCAATATATCTCCTCAATGCAGAAACCGGATCGCAGTCAGTGAATGGCATAGATCATTGTCACATTTCCTGAACTTTTTCCCTTCTCAAAATCAAATTTCGCCTTTCCCGAAAAGAGACTATATCAAACAAGAAAATGTGGTGCTTTCAAAAAAAATTAGAGGGTATAATAAAATAGAGGCTCCATAAGGAAAAACCAAAGGTATCACCTAATAGTATTTTTTTTTATACCTTGCAGACTCCAAAACGAAACTGTCAAAATTACTCTAGGGGTTGAGAGTAATTAGGGTAATTTTGAATGGGCTCTTAAGCGCTCTCGCAGAGATTTCCCTTTGGTGCGTCTTTTTGTTACACCCTGCATCACGAAATCAATCATGGGAATTTTTTTTTCGGCAGACCTTAATTTGAAGTGGAATTTTAACACGACACAATTTTCTTCCGTGACTTCTTCCATGAGGACCAAAGTATTCTGGTGTAGCATTATAAGTCGGTAGGTGTGGATGAACGTTTGAAGTACCAACATGGGTTAGGATATTCGCCGATTTAGTACTAAGCATCGTCTAGATCTACAATAATAACGCAAAGATGCAGAAAAAATGTCAGACCGTTTGGGATCCCTTCCGCACGTTTTCAAGACGCTTTTCCGAGATAGGGAAGCAGATCTCCCGAGCAAATTGTGTATCGAATTTAAGTACAGACTCTCTTCGATGTGAATTCGCAATTTCCCCATGAAAATTTCATTATCATTGCAGCAATTCGTGATTTTCTTGAAGTTTCAAGTTTTACTCAACTGGATCGATTACATCAAGAAAAAAAATCCCTCTATCGATAATTCTTTTCGATTCCTTGGAATTTCCTTCGTGTTTCATACAGAGCGCATTTATTTTATTGCTAAACTATTCTTATGCAAATGGAGAAAAGTGCTATGAAGCTTCTCAGCAGGCACAAGAGCGTTGGTAAAATGCTAATACAACATTCGCTTCTAACGGTGTTCCAGTATTGTAGCGAATGTTAGCGCGGCGTTGAAATGTCCCTTTTAGAAGCGCTCAAAGCAACGTTAAACCAGAGAGCGTTGAATGAACGCAATTCCTACGTTCATTTATAGCCTTGAATTAAACGTGCCCACGTAGCATCGGAATGCTCAATAAACGTTCCTTTTAAGGTACTGCCAACGCCATGTACGCCATGGGATTAATCCTGCTCCGGAATTGCGTGTCGGAGTAGCTCCAATAGGTTTAAAATTCCATCACATTCGTATTCATTTCCTTTTAAAGATTAGGACACTTTCAGCTCTCTAACTTCTTATCTGCTAAACCTGGTGCTTTCCATGAAACCAACTGGAAAGTTGAACCACCTTCCCTCCATCCTCCAAGCAAGAGTATCCTGAAGACTCCTTGGACCTCTTGAGACGAATTCTTTGAAGAAGTCAAATGTCTTCCCCCGTGGTGTCTGCTGGGAAAGATCGGATACCTTGTGGAAAACATTGGAGACTAGTTGTAGATGTATCGACCCGCTATAGCGGCTACTGTGGCGACATCTAGCTTCGATTGTGCGAACCTCTGTTTGTTTGTGCAACTGCCAGATGGCTATCCCGCAGTCCCGATCAAGTAGCTTGATAGTTTTCGTATTTCCTATATTCTTTTTTTTTTCACAACACGCCTTAAAGGAACTCAGAAGTTTCTTGGGCAAGGAAGAATTGTCCTTAAAGGGAATTGCGCCTTCTTATAGAGAAGAAATCTTAGCTGCTTCGGCATCAAATTCATCTGAAAACTAATAACTATCGTTCAAAAAACGGCATTAAGAAAAATGGACGAAGCTTTTGAATAGTAAGTGAAGTAAGTGAAGCTCTCTGAACGCGTAGATTGAGGCATTTCATTTCGACTGCATTGAGACAGAGAAAATCAAAAAGCCGATGGAATGTGCTTTTACGGTGACAGCAACAACTCGAAATCACAAACTCGTGCTGATCGATGAGAATAATTTCCCCCGAGGCACACAACATGCATAAAGTGAATCGTTAGGTGAGATACACTCTCAGAGAAATCCTGTTAATGCTCATAATAATGTCGCCTAAAGTGATGTGGAATCTTGGTGCGGAAGGTCTGCAGGGAATTCAATCTGGCAAGTAATGGAATCAGCGTCAAGATGGAAATCCTGGTCGATAAATATAATTTTTAAAAAGGCCAAGGCTGGGTTTCGTCGATGTGATGCATCGATGCTTAGTGCCATCCGCTGTCTTTCTGGAAAAGCAAGAAATCCTGCAAAGAGAAACGAAAATGGAATCACCTTCTGTGATGCAGTGAAGCCTCGACATGTTTTTCTCATGCATGCACATTGCTGGCATTTACACTTGATCCCGACACCCTCTTGATCCACAAATGTGGCCATCAAGCTACCAATACACCCGTAGTGATGAGACTGCTCAGAAAATATTTTAAAATTTTATAAGTGGAAGCCACTGTATTCTGTAGCTGTATTTCAATCTATGTATCACGAGAAAATTTTAGGCCTTTCTCTTCGTCTCTGGGATACCTTTTCTTAGCATCTGACGTCCACCTTGCCTCCACTTCGAAAGAAAATAGTCCAATCGAATATTGAAAGAGAGCAAAATTGAATATAGTATACGTTCTGCAGTTCAATTTGCTGTACTATCGCAGAATAATAATTATGAGAACCGCTTGTAGTAAAAACGTTTACGGTATTACGTTTTAGAGCCCACTGTTTATAGTAGATAAAATTACAGACCAACTGCGAAAATCCCAAAGGAAATGGTAAAGGGAAAGGGGGAGAGGGAATATACCAAGAGAAAGAGCGATCCGATGAAGAGGGACTTCAGACGGACATCCAAATCCTTGGGGAAGGAGACGTCGAAATCGTCTGCATCCGTGCAGCATTCTTTGAGGGCGCCAGACCAGTGCTTCCGGATCATTCCCACCTGTCTTGTCTCGCTTTCGTTTAGCACCTGCAATAATTGTGGGAGAAATGATGCAAGGTTCTCCAAGCATGAACAAACTAGCATTTTGAGGAGGAGTTTGTAATAAAAAAAAATTTTTAATTTTAAGCAATGTAGCCTTAAATGTCACCCTACTGTTCGTGATATAACTAGAAATGTTGGAGACATGCTACAAATCCAGGGTGGGCACAAGGTGGGCGCGATTTTAATGTTTTAAGCATCCATGATGCTTGGAACATCCATTCGATGTGTTGTCTGCTAGGTATGCCAGGGTTGTGGAGAAGCTCTAGCATCTCTGGAAAACTGTGTGTATGCACCATGGCTTGGGATCAGGATCAGTTAGTAAACGAGATTGACAAACGGGAAATTCGACGTCGGCGCCACAGAAGGAGCAGGGGCAACAGGAACCCTTTACGCGATACACAACTTCGTCGTTGGAGTCCTTGATCCTCAAATTGGTCTTCCAAAGCGCCCATTCCTCTTCGATGGTGCCGAGGTGCTCCCCCGTCCCCGAGTACACCCGAAGTACCTGCAAGCAGTATTTTTTCGTAATTTGAATGCTGTTTTCAGTGGGTTCTTTGTCAAAAATGATGAATGAGTTTATCCAATATACAGTACTTTAATTTTAAAAAATACACCTGTATCTGAAGTAAGAGTCTTTCTTGCGTAGCATGCTATCAAAGTATTATAAGTGACGAACAGGAGGATAATGAATTGTCCGGAAATTTAATTCTCATCGCAGTGCCATTGCTATGGAGATTTCCTTCGTTCAAGTAATATCACTACGAGAATTCGAGGTACTTTTTGTTTTTAATTTATAGTCAGAGAGGGCATCGCTCTACCTCTCTGAACTCCACTCCATTGTATGCCGGATCTCATTCTCGCTTTTTTATAGGTGATATTTTTTGCTATCCCATTGTTCTCCGGGACTTCTCCCCTGGCAATTAAACCTCTCTGGTGATATGCCATATTCCGATTTTCACGTAACTGTGATGTGCTCGTGAGAGGCTGATCAAATATGATTACGGGAAATGCAGCCATTCGCATGTCTGCCATCACTTGGCGGCCGATGTCTTACACTCTTCCACTGGGAAGAGCAGGGTGCCCCCAATAAATCACTATTTTTCCGCGTTGCCTCGATCAAGCGGTATGACCTTACCCAGAAGTGCCAAAGCACGTTCTATGCGAATCTCTCTGAAGGTTTCTATTTCCCTGATACTAGTGCGGCTAAGCGAAGCTCTCAAATATATTAGAATGCAGTTTCTGTATTCTATGCTGCTTACTAGGCCCAGTGTCCCCTCCAGGGAGGGCAATAAATCTCCCTGAGGGCCTGAGACTGTTCAACTTGGTATCGTACGAAGAATCTGAAGGGAAAGACGGAAATCCTTTGCCTTCCTCACTGTCTTCTTTTTTTTGGAAACTCCTCGTCTGCGAACAAAGGCTTCCTATCTGGAAGTCTCACTCCGTTCGAAGAGCCTCCAAATGACCCTTTAATACGTAATCGACCGAAACGTTGCTCATGGATCTGACCGCGTGAGTTGCATTAATCCTAAAGATACTCCGACTTCTGGCCTTTGCATTTTTGTCTGGTTCGGAATGCAGAAATTGACTTCGTACCAAGCAGGAGCATGGCGATGAAAGGGGAGAATCGCATGAGTAAAATCTTTTGCATCTGAGAAACTATGGGCGCAAAAGCGTAGCCAAAAATAAGCGATAGAAGCACTGAAAAAGGCGATTCACTCGTTATACTCATTTCCCGTCCGCGAAGAAATTGGTCATCCGAGGCTAAAAAGTAGGCAAAGAGAAAATGAGAGAGAGAGTATAGACTTGTAGGCAGCAGGGGAAGCAGCATCCATTGCATCTGAAGGGACGCTCAAGTCGAAGAACAACTTGGTTGTTGCCGTTCGTCAATGAGAGTTGAAAGGGTCTGAGGTAACTACACAATATGCGGAGGCAGAAGTTGGAATCTTCCTGAGCGAAATACAGCTCATTCCCCTCTTCGGTCTTCACCGAGTACTTGTTCTGGGCATCGCATCCCGTCAGTACTGGGAGTATCGGAAACGATAGGAACGAAGCAGGAAGTAAGCTACTGATGGTAATTATGGTGTAAGGAATTTTAATGACTGATTAATTTTGACAACAAAAAAGCAATGATCCCGTTACGATCATTAATGCCAAATCGTGAAGTGCGAAAGAATGTTAATTAAATTAATATTACTTTTAAAATATGGCATGAAACCAAACGTAATGAATAAACAAACACAGCCTAAGCTGACACGAACTCGATCGAATGAATCCAAGCTTTTTCCAAAGAGAACATAATTGAATACTCACACTGACACCAATCCACCTGCTGGTGAACTTGAATGCGGTTGAGATCGACGAGAGCGTCCAGGCCGGGCGGGACGTTGTCTTGTCCTCTCCTTGCTGAAAATCCCATTCATCTCAAAATTAAGCGACAAAATCAAATAATAATTTTAAAATAAACAAAATAATTTTCTGTTTTGAATCATTCATACAAAATTAATCAATTTCATTTATTCATCATAGCACTCACTTTTGAGGGGTAATTACAGAATGAAGTAGGATGGCCCTGAAAGATAAGGTCACGCGAATATTATTGTGCCATTCCCACAGAAGAGCATGCTATGGGCAAGCGAGTGACTTGGTGGCTCCCTTAGACCTTCGTTCGAAACCGAGTTTGCTAGAATTCTCATTCCGAGTGCAAGCTTCCCAAATTTTGAGGCTTCTTGGGTCGCATATGCGGCAAAGGTGCAGGGGCCTTGAAGCTCATGAGCCTGTAATGAACATGGTAGCCTGCATATCTATCGTAAATCGATGGGTTTGGGGGGGTTGTCATGGCGATGTCATGGCTTTCTTAATGTACGGTCAATAGCTCAATTAATCTCAGCTGTCACACGTCCTCTTTTCGCTTGGTCCACTTTATCCACCATTTTTGAATAATTTAGGCGGAGTTCCCCCTTCCCTTTTTATATCTTATCAGGGAATCAGAAAATGTACGTATGTAATTTAATCCACTAATGATTAATTAATTATCACTGATTAAGTTTAATAATGTTTCATTTATTAAATCCCCCACTTCGAACTTTTTTGTTTGAAGGGAAAACGGTATGAAATATGCGAGATTAGAGAGCTGCGTTTGCAATCTGTCGTCCCTGTCCCGTGATAGCAAATTTTCGCATGCGCAGTAGATCTATTAATGTGCGTGCTAAAATTAGACACTCGTGCCAGTGTAGTTTCTCTTTCGTTAAAACTCCATGCATAAACTCGAGAAATACGAGTGTTGCTTTCAAAGTTCAGAGGAATATTGCGAAAGAACATTTCAAATTAAGTTTATTGAGGGAAGGGTCCACATGTGGGAAGGACCCACATGTGCCCTTCCCACATAATCCTCTGCAACTGCACAGAATTTTTATATTTAAACCTACTGTTTGGAGCTAAAGATAAAGATGATGATGCTTAGGTGATGCTAGTGATAAATTCTGCGTGCAGATCGTCTGTCGATTGAAATCGGCACGCCATTTGCCGCTTCAGTGCCGGAAAGAACCTCCTCTATGGACATCTGTTGTCTTCATTATTTATCATTTCTCTGGAAACAATTCAGAAAATGAGGGTCTGCACCATGAAATTGCAGAAATCACGTCACATTTCTGGGTCTTTCCAGCGTCAAAGAGGCCTGTTGCCATTTTTAACCGACGGATGATGTACAGGCAAAAGTGTCGACTGAGTCAAGAATCTAGGAAATCAAAGCTTTCTGCCTAGAAGTTTTGGACTCAAACTGGGAAATTGCGATTTCCGCGTTTGTGTTAGCGATTCCCAGAACTTAAATAGCAATCCTCGTACACTCTCTAACGCAGGAAGGTTGATCGATAAATATTTTTGTTATTTTAATGGAGGAAAAAATGATTTTTTCGTTTTTAATCTGACCCGAATTCCAGGAGGTGGGCTGTTGGTCCACGACGTCCATGCTCCTCGTGGCAATCGCCCTCTAGAATAGGGAGTACGTCACAGCCTTAATGGTGTCCTGTGATCACCGCTGGGGGAGGAGGTACCTTTTCAGGTGCTCTATGGTGCTGGCCAAGATGTAGGAATTATTTACTGGAAGTATTTTTGAATTTGCCTTATTTTTCGCAGAAGTCTTAAGGAAAACCCAAGATGAACCTCATATTTGATTTCGTAACTTGGAAGGAATTACAGTCAGTTTCACAGACTTGTGCAGCAACAGCACTTTTGCAAATGTCATTTTCACGTTGCTGAGCGGTTCGGGGCTTCTTGTAGCAGAAGTTCCGCTGATTTTACGAGTATTTTTTATTCTTGAGCCGATTCGTGGTTCAGGAACTACGATTTTTTAAATCTGACAAGCGGCCGCAGGTCGTCTAATGGGTGGAGATGTGAAAATATTTAAATAAAGATATGAAGCAGTTCGGTTTAAACGAAACATTTGCAATTTTCAAACAAACCTCGCTACCAAAGTTTTTATGGCCTAGCATGGCATAGCATCGTAGGCCTCGCGCATTAGAGGTGACAGCCAACACAACTTTCGGCCTCTTTAAATTAAAGTATTAGATGTTCATTTTAGTCTTCATTCGCGTCACTAGTTGCTCTGCGTGATTGTGTTGCCGAAATGTTGTAGGTGCATGCAAACTTTTCGCCAACAATCTGCATTAGAAATCTCTCATAAATAGCCAGAAGAACATTTTCCAAAACATAAATTTCAAATGATAAGCACCAGATGGAGCATATCCTTCATGTAACTCACGAATTGCTCACCACGTTGGATCAGAGAAGTCGAGAGAGAAGAAATACCTCTTTCCCAGGAACGGAACTAAGTGGCGAGACTCGCCGAATGGTGTCCTAGCGATACGGTTCCTGCCAATCGTTAGGTGTTGCTATGAGACCCCCGCTAAGCAACGTTTTTCCACGCTAAAAAAAATCGTACCTGGAAGGGAGAGCTGCAGAAGGGACGTCACGTGACGTCATACCTCCTGGTGGATTGACATGTAAAAGGCTGCAATAAAGCGCGACGCCTTCCGTGTCTCCTCTGCGTTGAATGCATTTGGGTAATAACTTTTTCTAATAGCAATTTGCCGCTTACGGGTTTTCCTTAACGGACTCCTCGCGTACCGATCGTCAGCGTTTTAGCATTTTACTAGCATGAAGGCCCACAAATATCGTTGGCAATCTAGATAGCACATTTGGATCGGAAATCATCAAATCGGAAAGCATCAAATGAAGGGCCGAAAGGCAAAGTGGTCCATCTGCGAAAAATTCTTTCCTTGACCTCCATATGAAACGAGTGAATATTCTAGTGATCATCATATTAAAAGTGAGAAAAGTGGCATATATCAATAGATCAGGTCATCTTTTACCTAATTATAAATAACAATTACAGGTAAAATCTCGTTGTAACAAATACCACTGTAACGAAATTTTCAGTGTAACGAATTTTTTTTTAAGTCCCTCCAGGTTCGCTATAACGAGATTTTACCTGTATTTTCTATGAATAGAACAAGCTTTTATGAGCACAAAACCAACAAAACCTGCTCTTCGACTTCGACCTGGGCGTCTCCGCTACTCAGGCGCCCCGTCATCTGTGCCAGACGGAAGGCCGTGACGCCCTCTCCCTCAATACCTGCCAATACTGGTACAGTCCCTTCCGCTCCGGCGACAGGAGCCTCGAGGACCGACCCAGGTCGGGACGTCCCTCCGAGGTGGACTTTGACGCTCTGCGCAGCCTGGTGGAGGCCGACCCGAGAGCAACCAAGCGCAGTCTGGCCGCCACTATCCACTGCTCCAACGCTGCCATCGACAATCATCTCCACTCTATCAGCAAGGTTCTCAAGATGGGAGGTGCCCCACACTTTGACCCAGTGGGACCTTGACGCCCTGTCTGAGTCCTACACCCATCTCCTCTTGCGGAGGCGCAGCTTCGACTGGCTTGACCACGTTGTGACTGGGGATGAGAAGCGGTGTCTCTACATCACTCATACTCGGAAGCGCCAGTGGCTCGACACTACCGAAGAGGCACAGCCAGAGCCGAAACCTGACCTGCACCCCCGGAAGGTTATGTTGAGCGTGTGGTGGGACGTCCTCGGCATCGTGCACTGGGAACTACTGCCGCCCAACACCACTATCACTGCTGACTACTACAGCTCCCAGCTGCAGCGTTTGAAGCTGAAACTCGAAACGACGCGACTGCAGCACGAAAAAATATTCTTCCTTCACGACAACGCCCGACCCCATACCCAGGTTAGAAGAGTAGATAAGGTTGGGTCGAAAGCGAAGCCCCGAATAATGGCGGTTCTAGTCCTAGGGCAAATGACGTCACTGGTATACACCAGCCTCGACTGCTCCATTCTCGCCATTGGTTTTCCTCCGATGTAATGATATTACTTGAAGCGTAATGTCCACATTTCGTAATCAATGGCTGATTTTAAAAATATCCCTTAAATTGAGGAAGGGAAAGCATCGAATGGGAAAATGGCGGGGAGGATTCCGTACTGAAAAGTTTGAGGAGTGTGCAACTGTAGTGAGAATATATTATTATTTACAGAAACTGTTAACATGTGTCATTTGCCCTTTTGAAATGGCAATGAAAATATGCGTTCATTATCAGACTTCCTCGTTCTGTGTTGCTGAATCCCCAAATCAGAGGAAGGGAACTTGTTTGTCATGGTCATGTCAAATCACGTGATTTTCACGAACACCATGAAGATATTCCTTCTCGCAAACTTCAACGAAAGACTTCCATTTCTTTCTCACCTTCTTGCCCTTGCTGAGGAACTCAGAATTTATGAAGAGAATCCAGGTGAACAGCCGCGTTCTTACAGATATTCGAGATACTCGATGGTTGACTTGGAATTTCGACTGGATCGTCCCGGCGAAAGATGACAATCGACCCCAAAGGGTTGCTTTGGGATCCCTCCCTCAGTCTACTTCAGGAATTCATTTTCCGCGCGTTTCCACCGCATCACTTAGGTCTTTCACAACCCAGGTTCCTTTGAAACGATAAAACGAACGTTTCTCTCCGTCGGCTCCAAAATCATCAGATGTTCTTGCAGGCGGCGACTGCAAGTAGGACCGGCATCTGCGAATGCTATGAACCTGGCAGCGCCACAATCTAGAGATGCAATCGTTCAAGCGCAATAGAATGGAAATGCAAAGAGCAAGGCAATATGGCAAGAAAAACTGACCGATTTTAACAGAGGAGAAACAGACTAGAAAAAGGAGATTTTATCAGTCAGCCGAGGAGGTTGTATACCAGTGACGTCATTAGCTCTCTCTCCCCACCCCCCGCTGGGATGTAGCCCAACCTTTTCTACTCTTCTAACCTGGCCCCATACTACGAAGTTGACCCGTCTCGAGCTCCTTGAGCTCGGGTGGGAAGTCCTGCCCCACCCACCGTACTCGCCCGACTTGGTCCCCTCAGACTATCACCTCTTCCGCTCCCTCCAGAACCACCTGCAGGGGAAGCACTTTGATACCCAGAACGCGCTCGAAACTGACCTCAAGCACTTCTTCAGGGCCAAGCCCCCGGCGTTCTAAAGGGAGAACATCCATTACCTGCCCGAAAGGTGGAGGAAGGTTGTGGGCAACGATGGTGCTTACATTGTGGATTGATCTTGTTTTCATGATGAATAAAGGGAGAATGAACAAAAATAAAAAACTCCAAAGACTTTCTTAACAACCCAATATAATGATCAGAAGGGTATATAAGAGGGTCAGGGCAGACCGAGATATTATGGGTGTTTTTGCCTCCTCTTGTCTTCTCACATGGCCAGCCAGTGGCGGATCCAAGGGCAGAGGAGGATAGCGACAGCCCCCCCC